TGTATATAGGCTGTTTATATTGTCAAAAAGCCTGTGTTTTTAGGGTTATTAATGAAGTTTGTGTACTCAAACCAGTAATATTTGGGGTCACAAGTATATAGGCTGTTTATATTGTCAAAAAGCCTGTGTTTTTAGGGTTATTAATGAAGTTTGTGTACTCAGACCAGTAATATTTGGGGTCACAAGTTTTTGGAGTCTAACCCTTCTCTTTGTCCTGCACTGTTAGGGTCTGACAGGGCGGCTGGGTGGGTTGAGATGTGCGCGCGCGATTAGAGGCCACGGCTGTGGCTGGGAGGGCGGGGAGGGGAGGGGGGTGTTCGGGACATCAGAAGTGCCTCTGCCATTTACAGTCACCAGCTCTTGTCAGGAATGTCCGTCCCCTGCGCGCGCGCACATCATGAGCTGCATGCGCCGACTTTATTTTTAACCCGGCAGGGTGGGCCTGAAGCTGGGAATGAGCGGTGGAGCGCGCGGCGCCCCCCAGGACCGAGCCCTCCTCCTCCTCCTCGCGCTCTGACCAGCCGCTTCAATGGGACTCTAACTGAAGAGGACTCGACAGAAACTCCTTCAGACAACAAGTAAGTTTTAAAACCGACTAAAACTGGACTAAACTCTTCCACCGAGCGTTGAGAGTTGTTTTTCTCCTCAAACACCTGTTGGTCGCCATGTTTAAATCAACAGTTGTTTAAAACTGCGGTGAAAATTTTAAAAGTATTTTATGTAGCCTAATTTTTATTTAGTTGTTGGTGTTTTAAAGAAAACGTTATTTCAGTGGAACTTTATCTCATCAGTGAGAAGGCGCAGCAAAGTGCGACGATGAAAAAAATGACGCACAATCAGTTGTCGCGCGCTACAAGAGGACGTACAGTTTAATGAAAAAGGGAACAAAGTGCAATAAAATAAAAAGTACCTTGTCAGAGGGGAAAAAATGATGAAAACGTTTTACCAGATCATGTTCATTGTTTACAAAATATATCATGAACCACTGGAGGGATTAAAAAAAACTTTCAGAACAGCAGGGGTGCCCAAACATTTTCCCCGAGGGGGCCAAAATGAACATCTATCCAGGGCTGGGGGCCAAATGCAGTAATATAATACATGAAATACAAATACTTTTTAAAGTAAAGTCCTTTATTTTGAATGATTAAGCTATGCAATGGCCCTCTTTTGTTTTAGTTTGTGCACTTGGAGAAAGTCTGCCATACGCTCAAGTAGCAAAGGCTCATGGGACATATTATAAATTGATAAAATATGAGTTTTTGTGGTCTTATAAAGTGTGCAAACCTACATGTGGGGTTAAATCTGATCTAAATATTTCTTGTCGTCATGAAGAAATTTATAGTTATTATAGCTCAGTATTGATATTATAAACAACACCAGAGTATTAGGGTTTCCTTATTTTATAATACCTTTATAATGTTTGTTATATTATGTGTTAATTAAATAGGGTAGATATATGTCCGAATCATAACAACACATAAGTGAACCGTTTTTAAACCGTTAGATTGAGGTTTGTTTGTCTGAATGCCTGTGATTCAGCTGTAGGCCAGCAGGGGGCGAACTCAGGCATTGAAGATTCTGGACGGCATATAACCAGGGACTTCCTGTTTTTAATCCAGTGTGTGTGGTTTTGACTTGCCAGCCAGTGGCAAAATAAACCCCCACTCCAGAATTCTGGTGTTGTATGACATTATTTCTTATCACAGATCATTTTATTTAACACTGGTGTTTTCATCTGACTTCAGCCGATATTAAACACGTATTTTCTTAGTTATTTCATGTTTCATGTTTAATCCTAATAAATCAAAGATATGCCAGCACCATGAATGAAAACTACCTTCACTACAGCCCTTTTATGTAGTCATTTGACCAATGGAAATACTGTGTTTCTATAGGATAACAGGTTACAACCTTGTAACTTTGGCAACTGTTGGTGGGCCAAATCAAATGGCTTGGCGGGCCAAATTTGGCCCGCGGGCCCCACTTTGGGCTCCTCTGATCTACAGCTAACTTTTCTATGCAAAGCGAATCAAGATGGCTGCCACAACCAACTAATCTTAAACGCTAAAACAGCAATAAGTCAATCAGTTTGATAGAGTTTGAGCTAAAAAATTTCACGTGGTAGTAGCTGAGAGTCATCCTCAAAATGTATTCTGAGTGCTAACTGGAATCTCTGTGATTATTTTTCCCAGTAAATGTTTAAACTTGTCAGGAGAATATCTCACCACTGCACAGATTTTGATGAAACGTTAATGTCGTTATTAGATATGCAACTGATTCCTGTTTGCAGCAAACCCAGCTTAAAGTTGGCCGCCAACTACATTATACCTGAAACAGGAAAATGGCTATAGTTCTGTCACTTTTGCAGCTGTTCTGCTAAAAAAATTGAAATGATAGCAGGTGAGACTCATTCACAGCACATACTTGGAGTTTTTTCATAATAACGCACAAAATTGCAGGTGATGTTTGCTTAAAGTTTGACCAAAACTTCATCAACCATAAGATTTTTTTAAAAATCTATGGCGTGACAGGTGGTGGGTGATACACATTCCTTAAAGACATGCTAGGCCTTTAATTTGTAAAGGCAAAGTCAACACTTACACCACTTTAAAACCATACACGTGTCTTTGCACTGCTTTTCACGGAGATGGAGCTTCTTCCATTTGAAACTTTTGGAGGACAGTTTAATCTTTACTAAAATCCCTCTGACGTTTCCTACAAGGTCAAACGAGGCTGAAATATTCCCTCTAGTGAAAAAACGGGTTCCTTCGATCCACTTTTGATGTCGACAACAGCTGGAGAGCTTTTCCACAGTAGCTGCTGCTCCACGTTGTTCGTCTCCTATTAATCCTCTAGCTTGGTGTTTTAGTTTTTGTCTCCATGTTAGTTTTGCATGAAATGAAAATGTTCCCTGCATGGGAGCAAATCTCCCCTTAAAAGGACAAGTGAGAGTGCGTTGCCGTTTCTGGTCGAGCCTTTACTGTAAACACTCGGGGAATAATTTACGATCGATCTCCGTGGAAGCTCAGGCAGAGTCGGGCTCTCCGCTGCCTCAGTCAAAACAAAACTGACCACAGTACATAATCAATGTGCTGTTCACTGGATCGTTTCTAATAGCCTGTGTTTACACTCCTCCACGTTTAGCAGTGCAGCACAATAAGGCTGATGATAATGGTTTTTGCATGTGTTAATTTGTCTGCTAGCAAAATGTCTTATAAATCACAGATAAATCTACCTTTTTCAGTCCACGTGATTCAAGATGGCCGACACAGCCAACCAACCTTGGGAAACACTCTGATTCAGTCAGTTTAAGAGATGTTGAGTGAAACTATGGTGTGGTAGTGGCTGAAACTGAACCCCATGTAGTCTGCTACACATTGCAAGCAATGTCCTGATGCATCTCAGTAATCCAGGTAAAAAAAAAAACAAAAAGAAAAGAATTGTGTAGGTCTTCTGGACGGGTTCTTCTCTAATGAAACGTTTCGTCTCTCCTCCAAGAGACTTCTTCAGTCTGAGGTCATATTCAGACCTGATAATTTGCTCCGCTTTAAACGAACCAGAGTTCGTTTCCAGCGTTGGTCCGGACCTTTTGTGCAGGTGTGAATACACTCACGTGAGCTCTGGTGCGAATCAAACAACCGGACCGAGACACGCTTTTTGAGGTGGTCTCGGTCCGTTTCCAAACGAACTCTGGTGCGGTTCGCTTCAGTTCACTTCTGGTGTGAATACAGACCAGACTCTAACCGAACCAACTGCATTAAACATGCACCTTTTTGGAYTTCACAGGTCACCGTTGCTGAGCTAAATAAACTGAAATCATACCTGTTTCATCATCTCCTGTTATTAGATCTACTGCCATCATGTAGTGGGTCAGAACACGCAGAGCACCTCTTCTCCTTTGGGTCGCTGGACACATTTACTGACGCCGCTCCAAAATTAGAATATCATCACAGAACCACCATTAAATTAGCTGCTTCTGACATTTTAAATGCTATTGCAGTTTTAATATTAGCAAAAATGTGCGCATCAGAACCGCAGCACGCAGGACTTCCTTGTTTTTTTCTGGGTCTGTGGCTCAGTCCCGCCCCTGTCCTTTTTTGTCCAGTGGGAGCAATGATCGTCACCCTCGTGGCTTTGTTTACAAGTTATAGTTCATTTGCAAAAAAGCACAATGTGAATGCAAATCGCACCAAACGAAAAAAAAAAAGTCAGTTTTTGTTCCGGACCAAACACTTGGACCAAAGGACTTTCCTGGTCTGAATACACCCTAAGAGTTTCAGGCAAAATTCAGGCTTTTAAGCCCTGCCTCCATGTGACTGATACTCACATCACATGGCTATCGTTGACACCTAATTAACACCTATTGTCAACAGGGGGTGGAGTGATACTGGCAATAGCAGCATTGTAGGAGGGGGACAACTGAAAACGGAGGCCTCCACCTCTGTTCAAAAGAATGTCCCAACACAGACGAGCTACATCTAATGGCCAGAACTCTGCAGTTTTCACTCATTTACAGGCCAGCGGTCACTCTTTCAGAGATGAGGATGTTCTCATTCTTGATAGAGAGGAACGTTGGTTTGAGAGAGGAGTAAAAGAAGCCATTTTTGTGAAGAAAGACCGTCCATCATTAAACAGAGGTGGAGGCCTCCGTTTTCAGTTGTCCCCCTCCTACAGTGCTGCTATTGCCAGTATCACTCCACCCCCTGTTAACAATACGTGTTAATTAGGTGTCAACGATAGCCATGTGATGTGAGTATCAGTCACATGGAGGCAGTGCTTAAAAGCCTGAATTTTGCCTGAAACTCTCAGACTGAAGAAGTCTCTTGGAAGAGAGACGAAACGTTTCATTAGAGAAGAACCCGTCCAGAAGACCTACACAATTTTTTTTTCTTTTTGATTGCAAGCAATGTTTGTTTGCAATTTCATTAACCGCTGGATGGATTTAATAAAACACTATGAATTATCTTCATGTGAACACAGTCAGTTTTACAGATAATGAGCTGAAATTTGTCGTACAGTTGCTGAAAGTTGTTTATAACACTTACTCTGTGCGTGATGACACGTCGAAACAGCTGCAACACCTTCATTTTTCAATGAGATGATCACCGTCTAAAACTCTAACATAAGGCGTTGGGTTGTATCCATTTTAAAGGAGTCCAAAACTACTAATTGTTTCTTGAGAACATTTATGAGTCGTTTATTTTTGATAGTTTTATGAGGACCAAAGTAATCAGCTATTATCTGGTTCAGTTTGTGTTTACGTCTCACATTCTCTCCCAGCTGAACCTGCTGCTCACGCTGCACACTCGCACGTTTTGACCACGCCCATTCACCGCTCTCCTGCTTCAGCGTCATCTAATCCGAATAATGTGCTTTCTCTGTCCAGGCCGTGTAATGTGACGTGTTGCTCTGTTTAAACATCCTGAAAAAAAAAAAAAACATTTCCAGAGCTTAGGAGCAAAGGTTCGGTTTGATATTTCCCCACCAGAGTTATTTATAGAGAACAGAGATAGACGTAGCAAAACATCACAAAGGTTTTTATGCAGTCAGTCTTAACCATGATTATTATTATTCATTA